GCAAATAATTATTTTTCATTAGCCTTTTGACTTGAGTATATTCAATTTTATTATTCATAATTTATTTTTATTTTGAGTTTCATTTGAAACTGAAAGCCTTATTCAAAGAGTGTTTGTTTAAAATAGAAAGTGCAATAAAATAAGTTTTACCCAACATAATAATTAATCATGAATAATAATCGTGATTTCAATGGTGATAAAAATTAATGGTGATTATCATTTTGACCGTGCAGCCAAGACTTGGTTTGTATAAAATGGTATTGGGAAAATAATAATGCTGTAAAATATGTATCGGTAAGGTTCTAAAATCACTAAATTTTGACTAAGACAAAAGCAGAACTAAAACATTTGTGATAAATACATCAGTAGAAATACTGCCACCCAACATCAGAACATTTTTTTACAAGACAAGATTATTTACTTGATATCTTTGTCAAATCAGAGATGGTACACTACACATGTTAAACCTTTACAATTACCAATTAAAAGCGATCAACTCTATGTGCATCATTGTCATACTATTGCACATACATTTACTGGGCTTGTTGACATCACGATAATTTTTACAGCCAAGTCGCTTCAACAAACGTTTCAGAGTTGAAGATTGGCATTTTTTCAGTTGCATAAAACATAATGCGACCAATATGTTGTACGTCTGATTATGTATACAATTTAATCATGAAAAGGTAATATGGTAACTAAGGCACTGCGGTGTGTTAGTTCAGATCCACAGTGCACGTACAGTAGTAGTCTTTTTTTGATAAAGTGTGGTGAAGTTATACGAGCAATAACCCCAGCATTAATTTAGCACAAATATGCTTCAAGATTACATGCCTTTACCCAGACCTGAAATCAAGATGCGAGAACATGTGTTTGTAGCTTGACTCTGATTTGACATTGAAGGACTCAACACATCCCTAAAACTGTTTTATGATTTGGTCCCAGTTTCACCATAATCCGATTTATTCACACATGCTGCCTCAACAGTCCAAACCATTTTCTTCATGTAGATTTTAGGATGCTTTCACACTGGAAGCCTAAGTTTTAGAAACAGCTTGTAGAGGGCTTTTTAAAAACAAAACCTGAGTTGACCTTGTGGTCTGGGGTCATATAGTCAGATGTTTTCTTTTTTGATGGACAGTATTATTCTAAAATAGTCAATTTTATGTACATAGTGTTGTTTTTGCTTATCCCGGTGGTTCTTTATAACAATGCACATGAGTGGCTTCACCAGGTTTTGCAAACATTTAAAAGGGTTCCAGATTCCTATGAAATTGAGGATAAACACTAGTGAAAATGAACAGAAATGAATCTCGGGAGTGACTTTGGTCTAAATTAAACCCAGTGTGAAAACAGTCTTTGACAAGAATCATCCAGGACACAAAGACACAGAAAGGCAAGGAATCATGAACAATTGTAACCTTCATGTAAAAGCTTCACATTAACCCCCAGCACAAAGAGCAGGTTAGCTTTGAGAACCCATGAAGCACCAGCCATTGCTGCATTTTTTTTAATCCAGGAGCCTTTTCCACAACCACAGTGAACACAAAGAAACACACACCGAGAGCTGATAGGAGCGTGGCTGCACACACTTACCCCTTTCACATCACAACACAGTTTTTAAGCTTGACACACCGTGGAGTCTTTTCTTCCTTGCTCATCTTATTGAGCCGGTACAGCCTGATCTCCCGTACCAGAGTGTAAAAGGCATCTTCCACTCTCTGTGTTTTGAGACACAACGTCCCTCAGTGTTTAGGAATACAGAGGGACAAATGACATGGCTGCATTACAGCCCACAGAAACAAAGGTGAGAAGGAACCAATCTGCCTGGAGTGTGGATGGACCTGTACAGTAACTTCTCTCATATCACCTGTCTAACTGATACTTCCCTCAGAATTTTATTTGTCTAGATAGATAAGTCAGCTTGCCTTCTCTGGATTTGCTGTTAAGAGTTTTTCAAAATTTTCAAAACAAGCCAATTGTCAGAACGAATTAATATTGTTACTCCACATTTTAAACATCAACATTTTGATGCAGCCAAATGTCTGTTGTTGTTTCATCGGTCTAAATCATTGAGGTAAACAAAATGGGAACATACTGGCTACATCACGAGTGACAGCCACTGCATATTTAGCTTGTTTAATAATCTGCTGTGATCTCACAGAAATGCAATTTGTCAACTAAAGAAAACAATTGTAATAGTTATAATACAGTATTATAATTATGTTACGCACATAAACACCAGAAATGTAAGAAAATGTTTCTAAATTAATAAATATCTATTATCCATATTTTATCAGTTTAAAACTGTTGCTTACGATTTTAAAATTATAAAATACAAATATTTATAAGAATACAGTATCAAAACAGTAGGATTTATAAAACATTCTATGTAAACTTCTTAATCGAGTGATTAGGCGTCATAATGGTGCACACTGTGGGAGTCAAGTCATTTATAATGTGGGTGGAGTATCACTAAAGCTTTTTAATCTTCTTTAACAGATATGGTGCATGTATGTTCTACAAAAACCATTCCCAGAAAAGCTCTAAAATACATTTCAACTTACAGTCTTTAACTCATTTATTCTTTAGTTCAGTTTTTTTTATTGTTTTCACTAGCCAGATAATTCTATTTAAAAAAAAAAACAACTCAGAATCACATTGCAAAAATGATTAGACAAAGGCAGTTGTTGTGGGACTGGATATTGCACATTTATGAACTTTTATTTTTTTAAATGGAGTTAGAAAAGATGTTATGGAAATCAAAGGAAAGATGTTTTCTTGACAGAAACACGTTTTGACTCCACCACAGAAGTGGACTTTTTCCACACTTTACCATCTGGATTGTGTGGCATATAAAATGTAGCATCTGTGTTTTCTCAGAGCATATGCTGGAATGTTATTTGATCTCCTATAACCTTTAGCAGTTGCATGTATACATTCTTTATAAAAGGGAAAAGAGTAAGTAATAATAAGGTGACAAAATGTATTTCGCCTTTCTAACAAAATGCCTGACAAATTAACGTGTGTGGTTAACACAAATAAGTTGGTCAGTGAAAAAGAATGTTTTTCTCTCTTAGACATTCATTTTAAATGTATCACGGAGCAACTTTTCTGGAAATGGAGTTTGTAGATACACTATATAATAAGAAATGCCCATAGGGTCAAGTTAAAAATGGATGAGATTTGCAAACAAATGGATGACCTTCAGTGAAAAAGACTGATGCCAGTGAAATTGCAGCAGAATACAGTAGATACTGAATTATTGGTAGACCCAGGTAGAAATCTCTAAGAAATTGTGTTAATTTCCCTGCACCAGAAGGAGCCATGATTTACGCTGAGTCAGAGAGATCAGAGAAGAATGTGTTTACAGTTCATTGCCTCAGCCAGCAATCTTAGGCCATGCTCACTAAACACACCAGTTGATCCAATGTTACCACTACTAATGTTCCAACACTTAATCACAGCAACCAGTAAGCAGAATCATTAATGCCTCTGAGTAATTACTGACAGTTGTTTTGGTTGATGTGGATTTTGCTGATTTGCAGTTTTTTTAGGAGGTACTTTTTCCAGATGACCCAATGAAGATGTAATTCAACATTTAATGATTACACTATCACCAATCAATATTAATTAACCAGAGAGGATTTCAAAGACATTTCTGAAACATTTCCAAGCAACTTTATCACAGAATGAAAAGATGGGCAAAACAAATTAATGTACATGAATTAATACCACCACAGGGTTTAGTCAAGACTTGAACGATAATTTTAACAATCACGTAACCAATCAAACCTTTACAGTCAAACTGGCTTCAACTGAGTGCAGAAATTAAATTAGATTTTCAAGCCCATTTTGAAAAGTGGTTTCCCTCTCCATCCAGCGAGCACACCCCCAAGACCAAATGAAGCGTCTCCCCATTAGCTCTACAGACCAGTAGCAGAATACTACATCAGTAGTGTGACAGACTCGAAATTAAATTTTGATCCTCGAGGGTGTGCCCCACTTCATCTGGAGTCTCACCTGTCTGGTTTTGGCTGAGGTCTCGATAAAGGGAATTCCATAGCTCCGTGCTAAGTCCTGAGCCTGCTTGGTGTCCACTGTCCGGGACGGGAGGTCACACTTGTTTCCCACCAACACCATGGGGACATCCTCAGAGTCTTTAACTCTCTTTATCTGTTCTCTGTGGAATAAAGAGATACAGTTTCATTGTGTGTTCCACCTCAGATCATATATGAGCTGATCATGAGGGGTGAGAATCTACTTACAATTAAATTTGATTTTAATTATGATGCTAATCATTACAAAAATGACATGAAACAATTGTAAAATATTAGCAGGTACAATAATAAAATACAAATTTGAAAATGCAAAATGTGGGAGCTCATGTTGGTTGTGTTTCTGTAGTGTGTATTGTTTCTCTTGTCTATCTCACCTCCTCACTTTATTCCATAAATGCAGAATTGTTGCCACCTATCAACTTAAGACAGGGTTCCTTGCTTGAATCTCATAACTCCTGATTTGTGGCTCTCATTCAGGCATCTTTAGTAGAACCTGCCTTAGTAACACCTGTTATATTTAATTATATTATTATTATCCCATTGGTTAAAGAATCTACATGACACAGCGACATATATTAAGCATTTATGACATGTCACCAGCTGTTGATGACATTAGAGACGGTAAAGCTTTATTTTTAAATATTCGATTATGGATGTTACCATTGGAATAAATGATTATTTTACCAAACCCAGTGATCAATGGATCCATGTATTAATGCATGTGTGGTTTGGTGTTTAAGTAAACAAGAACAGTTTGCAGCTGCTCAACCAGACAAAATGAGATGCCATGTTGCATCTGCAGTCTCCTCATAAGGATGTTAATACGCAAGATTTATAATTTACCTCATCAACTCGTGTTGCTTTTTAATGGTTTTTAAGGGGGAGCAGTAAACAGGACAGGAAGAATCAGAGCGTAATGAAGTAATGAAATGAACCATAAAAGATTCTGTCTTCATACCATCACCTTACAGCTTAAGCAAATAATGTGGCATACATTTTATATTATATATTGTTTATGTTAAATAACTATGCATTTGATGGGTAACATCTCCTGTTCTATGGTTTCATCGCTCACCTATAGTGGTGAATGTCTTCAAAGGACTTGGTGTTATTAATGGCAAAGACACAGAGGAAACCCTCGCCTGTCCTCATATACTGGTCCCTCATGGCGCTGTACTCCTCCTGACCTGCAGTGTCCAGGATGTCCAACAGACACGTCTCTCCGTCAATTACTACCTGTTTTCTGTAGGAGTCCTGAAAGACACGATGGTCAAAGTTAATTAAAAAGCAATTTATTATCCAACAATCAACCTGATTATGGCACTGTTCTGCAAGGTCACCTTTCTGATGACATACCCCTTGATGCCAGGTGTCACTGTACCTGTACTATGTTATTGACTCATTTATTTGGGGTAGGTCATACTGCTGCCCCAATTTCTAGTCTAGTTTTTCACCCCATTAGTGGCTGCCCAATCTAACACAAATAATTACACTCTCACAATGAAGTTGAGGGTGTTTTAGATTGCATCTTGCACTCCAACATTCTGTAGTTAAGCCCTAACATTCAACATGACATCGATAATTGATTGGCAGTATTAATGAAACTGTTCACGCAGACTGGACTAGCCCCCTGAGGAAGCAGGCAGTTATTAGAACCTGTTTGGTTTCTTCCAAAGAGTAGAACCAGAAAAACCTGCTGTTACACTTTCTTCTCTTTTTTGTCCCACTTACACACACTCTAAAGAAAACTGTGAAAATGTACATTTACATATATGCATACTTCCAGCAGACAGTCTTACCTCAATTGTAGGATCATATTCATCTACAAAGTGATTCTGGATGAGCTGAATAGTCAGGGCACTCTTGCCAACGCCACCAGCTCCCACCACTACCAGCTTATATTCTGTCATAATTCACCTGCAGAACCAAAGAAAAGTATATTGCACTGGCAAATATACACGTTTCCACAGATACATTCAGAAAACATTATATTAAGGGCACAATAAAATTATCAAAAAATACTCAAAATAACAAAAAGACAATAAGGGTAGTTGAAAACATTTTGGAGAACACTTTAAAGTAGCTTTTCCAAATACAACCTTAAACAGAAGATGTAACACCCATCAATAGTAGCAGTTAGCCTCAGAGGTTGCAGCCCATAAAGTACTACACACAGGTCTGCACAGCCTGAATTCAGGGCGGAGTTCTGTTAAACAATTTTGCCTAGTCCACAACAGCATGCGGTTTGGTGGGGATTTGGCTAAAAATTGTTTTTTGCAGTACTTCAATGCCATTTGAATTTATGTTGTTTACGATGACCAGTCAGGAAACTATTTTATCTTCACCCAGACTACTGACAACATGCAGTGCAATCCAGATAAGGCTTTAAAAGTTCACTTAACAATTACAAGTAAAAGTGGTTTCATAATACCTAGTCCTATTCTGACAATCAAATAGTTATCTGTGTAAAAGACTATATCTATGTAAAATAAAGTATAGATGTAGTAGATGGATACAGTTTACACAAATGGTCCAAATGCCTCCATGATCTGGTTAGTTGCTACACTGCATGCCTGCTAATATTAGTACTTTATGTTTTCACAAAATACTAGTTGGCATGCAATACCTATCTGTCTAGTAACTTTAGTAACTCGTAGCAGATGTATTTGCTTTGTACTACTGTGAACATGAGAATGTTAACAAGGTTAATGTGAACAATCAAAATGAACAAGTCAAATGAATCGATGGGTTGGATTTATTTGTACAAGATTTGGGTTATTCACACTGACCAAATATGCCCTTTAAATAACAGGTTAAAAATGTATACTAAACAAACACGAAATCAAGGATAGATACGTAACATTTAAATACACAACAATGTGCAAATTGTCAATGTAAATTGACGTATACGTGCTGTAAGTGCAAGTGTATGTGTTAATTTTCTTATTTTTTCTTTTTTTTTTTTACTACACGGCTACCGTGTCTCTTTTCCCGTTACTCCTTTCTCTCTTCTGTTTACGTAGTTTTAATACTGTTAATATCTGGCTCGGTCTTTTTCAGGGTGTATGTAATAAAACCTACTAATGTTTAAGCTCGTGGTTGCAAGTTACGTTTGTGAGAAAACCTGTAAGCGCCATGTCCAACAACCACTTTCTGTACTGTTAGCTTAGCATTGGTGTTCGATTCTCATTTAGAGGCTACGCTACAGACCTTTAAGCGGGTAACTCAGTGTTAGTTAACAATAGCTTGTCTTAAAGCAGTAACTCCATAAACAAAGCCCGTAGACAAAGTGTAATCAATTCAAACTAGAGAGACATAGATTTGGAAGCCGCCAAAGAAAAGCTAACTTAAAGGTCTACACTGCAGGGCCAGGCGTTAGCTTAATACTTGGGCGTAGTTTGCACTACCAAACTACCATACCTTCAAGCAATTACATTTCTTAGCAGTATATTAATGATGAGTATACATCTGTCTACAGGCAGATTAATATAAACGGCGTTTAATTAATTTTTGAAAGGACAAAAGTATTATTCCCATTCGTTCTATTTACCTTTAAGCGAGTGGAGTTCCGCGTCCGAAGAAGTAGCCTCCGTAAAAAGTCAAGCTGATAGTCCCCTCGTTTTACACAATACCTGCATTTCCTATATCACACCGAAACGTCTGCATTTATGTCGGTCCACTGGGTCATAAAAGCGTGGTGCGAAAGAGAAAAAAACGAACAAATTAATCAATTGAACTTTCCATTTGATCCAGCAGCATCCGGGCCTAGCTGTTCTGGATGGCCTCCTTTACGAGAATATGGGCGTATACCGGGACGCACTTTACCCAGAAATCATAGCAGGGGATTTCAACCGGTTTCATGGGTTAATCGCATATATTCTGTCGCGATGTGAGATTCAGAATACTCTGTTTTATTGAAGTTGTATTTATCATTCAGACAACTGTACTTCCCACACGCCTTTATAGCCTCATTAAGGTGCAAAAACGCCTTTATGCTTATGTTTACTGTTTTTATGTTGAAATTAACTTTCATTTTATATCACTCGATCTTCAAATGAAAGATTAAACGTTCACACTTTAAACTACAACAATGAATACCATACAGGCATACGGCAGGCTAAGGACGTCTCCATGAGGTATTGTGTTATCCTGCTGCAGCCTGCTGTGGAGTCACCGAAGCCTAGGGGGCGACTCCACTATTTAAAGGCTCTAAATATAACTGGAATGCGCTGGAGCTACGCCATTCCCAGGCAAGGAAATGATTTGGCAATCCCCAGTCAGCTGTGCTGCATGTTCACTAGGATCCCTTCTGCGCAACATATGTGCATGTAAAAAAAACTTGCACAACAAACCTGAAGCATTTATAATGTTAAAAAGGGGGGTGTAATAAAGGCACGAACATGTACGACCAGACTCTGTAACACCAGTTGTTCAGTTAATCCCGAGGTCAGCCTGAGATATATTTAAGTAACTATTATTTAAAACGCTTTCATCAGTTTGAACAGGAACAGAGCAGGGTGAAGACCGATATACAGTGCAGTATATACATACACTGTATATACACATACATATTTTAGTATAGGTGGGTTTTTTTGTTTTGTATGTTTGTTTGTTTGTTTGCTACAGAAATGTCGAATGTATGTTGTGTAGTTTTTTTTCCAAAGCTGTTACACAACTGTAATCTTGGTTATGTCTACTTCATGGGTAAAAGCACTTAGGGTTAGGGTCTCAGCTAATCACATCAACACATACAGGGGAAACAATCCAGTTTATTCCTTCCTACACAACAGGCGATCTGAATTCTATTAAGACGCCTGTTCTGTCACAAGAGGGCAGTAGAACTTCGTTTATCCATCGCCAACATACACACGTTACATTACCTGCATTTGAAACTAGGTAATGGTACATAGGTGATGGTACAAACATACGAGAATATTCTTTTGATATTATCAAGTAAATTCATAGTATAATAACATTATATTAATATTAATATTGAAATATTACAATTCCTGTTTTGTTATGAGAGTTTTTGCTAGCACAAACAGTTATTCTAGTAATTTTAGTTAATTTAACTAATCTATTGTAGTTTTCCCTAAACCCAAAACATATTATTATGATTATTGTGTTTATTATTAGTCTGCAACTCTTCCATGAAGGTACACCCATCAGCTGCCCAGTTGATGGGTGTACCTGAGTTAAACTAGCTTCTTTCAGTTCTGAGCAGATAGCACTGATAGAAATGTTCCAACATTTTAAGAGAAACAATTTCGATCTGCTTAATGTGTTTGCTTGAACAGCAATTTTTGAAAACCCACTCGGGACAAATTGGAGAAAACACAAATGAGGCATGAATTCAAACATGAGGGGCACAGGTAATGCAGATCATGTGCACCAACAAACACAAAGTTAGGTTGAGATATATACATACAGTATACGAGGGGAACATGTTTGAACAGTTAGGTTGATTTAAAATAAGGAAACACAGAAGACAGGTGAAATAATATACTATAATAATAATAAAATCAGCAGTGAAGGGCAAGCATATACGACCTGGCTATTATCATGTAAATGTACCTCATAAATTATGCTTCAGAAAGGTCACCTGGCAATGGGATGCTATAGGTATAAGAGGTCATTGAGCTAAGGTTGTAATTGAACTGGAGGCACAAGAGAAGGAGACATAATAAAACAAACATCTATTTTTTTAGACATATCCAGTTGCTTGCCCTGTTTGTTTAGAATTTATGCTTTTAATTAACATCATTGTTGTGCTTGTTAACTTGAACCTGGGCCAGTGTTGGAACCCGGTGGAGTAAACGCTTGGTTATAAATCTGTAATAAGGTGAATTTCTAATTTGCTGATGATACCCTGTAATTAATTTCCCTTGTAATATCAGGTAAGGTTTTTGTACTTTGGGATGTTGGGATGGCGGAGGTGTTAAACAGCTTTGTATGCTTGCCCTTTTGACACCATTCCATTAACCTGGTGTGCACATGACAGGTAAATGAAGGTTGGTGCAGTGTTTAAAACTTATTTTAAAAGGATACAACACTGACAAATCAGTATATAAAAAAGGGAAGAAAAAAACATAGCATAGCAGCCATTCACAAGCCATTTTGCAAGAGCAGCAGCCTATAGTGGTTTGTTTAAAAAAAAGCCAACATTCAATAATGTCATTTTATACCTCATTTATCTTAGTATTTTTGTTTTCAAAGCCAAAAAGGCTGATGAAGTTTTTCAAACGAAACTCAGTCCAGAGGCATGGCTAAGACTCTTTGGAAGCGGCTTGCCATTAAGCAAGAAAAACAACTACAACAACTCTCTATCCTTTCAGAGTTTAAGGTGCTCCATTGTTTTTCATAGACACCAAAAACGACTGTAGCCACTGCTCCATCCACTCGTCCACCCCCACCCCACCGGAGCGTATTGCAGCTTTAAACAGTCCACAATGCTTTGCGGTGTCCCACTTCCAGCGCTATGTATTTACCAGCAGGACTAATGAAACTGGGAGAGGGGCAATTTCCGCAGCCCATTGGTGAGACCGCAAGAGACTAGCGCACAAAGAGGAAGGACGCAAACTTCGCACTGAGGAGCAAAGCGTAAACAGTGCGTCTTCTCAGTCGTACGTCCCGAGCTTCTTTTTTTGCTCATGCAGCCGAGCGCTTTACTTTGTCGCAGTTGGTTATAAGTGATTTACTGGGTGATGATTAAAAAAGGGACGCATCTTTGCAGAAGTGGCGTCTGTTTCTGTAGTTTTCCTCTAAACTCCAGTTTGGGTACACAACACTGATCCTGTCTGCACGTCAAAGGTAAGACTATTAGTCGGACCTCATTTTAGTAGAATGTGCGGTAGTTTAGCTGGCTGGAGTTGGAGGCTGGGGGATAACGGAAACATGAGTGTAGTCGAGGAGTTGGAGGCTGCGATTGCTTTCTGGGACACTTGAAGAAATTCTCGCCATTTTCCCTGACATATTTACTCCTCATCAACTGCATTAAGCTCACAGAAAGATTTATCCCATTCTTTATTCATCTTTTATCGCGTTTTTATACACTAGAAGTCAAATAAATATGTTCTTGGGATGTAGGTTATGGGCCGAGGAAGGGAGTTCGTGGATTTTGTGTTGTAGAAATTAAACTAGAAAGAAATCCTAATAATTCGTATTTATTTTTACAATACACAAAGGTCCTGTAGACGATTCCGTAAGACACTATGTGGACCGACGCTTGTGTTCGAGCAATGGATTCAGATTCTAGGAAGTGCATAACTCATACTCGGAGATGACTTATGCGCTTTATGTCAAAAGATGGAACCCTTGGTTTTAACAATGCACATTGGATAAAAACAACAAACAAACTATTTATTACTGGGGTACATCGGCTTTTTTTTAATTTGATGAAGGTGGCAAAGTGTAAAAAGCATTATAAGTTAAAAAAAGTTTTTTGTTGTTTGAAAAAGAAAAAGAGAGAAAAGAAAACGTCAGTCAAAAATAAATGTAAAAAGATTGCATCTTAATTCGGTCATCAGGCAACATCCTTATGACATATTGTCAACACTTATGACATATTTTCAATCACAAAATGGTGTCCACACAACAATACATAAATGTATACATATATGTGGGATGTTTAATAGAAAAAGTTATTTAAAAAAATTGTAATAAATATTAATAAATAATAAATAGTTCCCAGGAACAGTCATATTATAGTTGTAGTCAGTTGGTTACATATATCACAGTTAAACTAAGTTTGGGAAAACATAAACCTACAGTTTAGGAATAGGGAATTTCCAATATTTGAATATTTAAATAGTAACAACTAATTAATTTATGATTTATTAAATTCAACATTTTGTGATGATTTAGAGAACCAGAGATGTCATGTAAAGGTTTTTTCTGTATTTAACTGAGTCATGAGGGCCGGACTGCAAAAAAACTACTTTCAGACTGGAAAAAGGAGTAAGCTTCCCCCCTACCATGTGCATCTGCAACTCCAGCTGCTGCTCTAAACCCATTTTAGTTCTTTTGCCCGCCCTAGTGGCTCTTCAAAGCTGCCTAGTGAGCAGTGAATATGGCATGGGAACAAAGGCGGTATTATTGCTGGCTGAACGTGCCGTCCAGATGTTGGAGATCCTGCCAGCACTGACCTCCCAATAGGAGAGGTGGTTTCAGTGCCTAATAGTTTAATACCAGACAGCAGAGGGGAAGAAGTGGAGACGTTACTGAGCAGTGGGCATTATGTGTAGCGTGACTGGACAGAGTTGGTGTACATTCTGTGCTTACACACATTATGTATGTAGTGGAATTGCAATTCACTAATTTCTAAAACTTCACATTCAAAAGACAGTATCTCATTTAGACTTAAAGTGTTTTCTCTATATCTGGATTGGTCTGTTTTAATCATTTATGTTAACCTTTATTATTTTAGTACTCATCTGCTCAATGATGGCTCATTTCCGTTTTAAAGTCATTTACATGCCGATGTGTTGACTAAAACGTCTTCCTTTTGGTAGTATTTCATTGAAGTGTTATTGCATACTTTTGGGCGGGATGTGTAACCGTCAACATCATTGAACTGACCTGACCAAAGTGCTTTTATCTCTTAGTCATAGCTTGTTGCATACTCACAGCCCAGGAATGACTGGATGTAGGATGTTATCAGTTTCCACTCCAAGGCCCGTCACAGGCAGTCGTCTTTGCCATGGCGTGCTGTGGTTACATTCACAGTGACTGTTGTACAATGGCAAGTCTGATGTGTCGGTGACAAGGCATACTATAATCACATACTGCTACGAACAAACACGCTCTAGGGATGTTTCTTTGCTGTAGCTCTTATTAACTGTTGTAGCAACTGAAAGGAAGGCAATAAAATGTGTCCAATTTGTTCTGACAAAGTTACCACCAGAGACTGTTCAATAAACCATTGTCTGCCAAAGACCAATTACACAACATATCCAATTACAGCGCAGTATAAATTGTTAGTAATTGCATATTAACACTACAGGGAGCACAATTTTAATTAAGGCTGGTTTACATTGAGCAATAGGCTTTAAATAAAACAACAGTGTTTTGCTGCGTCAGTCTTAAAGACATCTCATCCATTTAACACCACTGCAGCCAACTAGTGGTTTTCTTGTGAGGTAAATTTTCTTCATGTGTTTGATTAGCCAATAGACTGTCCTCTAGAGGGAACATAGGCTTTGGTTTAGGGCAGTACTTCTCAAATAGTGGGGCGGGCCCACCTGGGGGGGGCATGAGGGGCTTCCAAAAGAATATGGCACACTGGACATAAGTGTACCACTGCTGTAATGCTTGAATGATGACAAGCCTCCAGTCACTAGGTGGCAGCAACTCATACAGTGGTTTGTACAGATAAAAATACACTTGTTATCAGGTTGTCAATAGTATTTCAATTCATGGGGGAGTGGGTTGGGGGAGGGCGCGGAACACATTTCTGTCCCCAAGGGGGGGCATGATTTAGGGTAATATAAAAAAATGAACATTCTGCTTTACTTTGTGTTCTTAATATAAACTCACTATAACACTGACTGTACAGCCTTCTTTTCCTGTTAAATTCGTTTTTAGGAGGACCATGTTAATTTTACTTCCAATTTTAAAACAGCAAAGACCTTTGAGACAAATTTGTATTTTGAATATGGGCTCTAATAATAAAATGTACCTTTTCTTTAGTCATGAAACCCCTTCTTTAGCAACTAATGATCAATCCAGGTCAGTTTGTGATGTGTTAGAAGCTGCAAATGACCAAAATTACTTACATACTTTTTTGAGATAGTTTTACAAAATGTTCTGAGTATTTATTTGTGGTGATTGTGGCCATTGTTGTGTTGGTTGTGTGTAAGCCCCCACAGCATATGGTGGGTTGTTTACACACACCTTATCTGCCAGCTAACTCAGTGTGCTACTCCCGAAGGCATGGAGAATTGTCACCATTAGCCAAGCGGACAGACAGACTGCCGCTCACGCACACCTTGCTGCTCTGAGAGAACTATGTTAAGTCAGCAATACTCAACCAGTGAGTGAAGTAAATGAATTTAAATGCTGCAGTTATTTGTGTTTGATATTGTTAAATTTGATCATAAACTAACTGAGCATCAGTAGAATTCCCAAGCTGTTAAACTCTCTCCTGCCATACGAAATGATTCTTTTGGCACAAGACGAGCTGCACGAGTCACGGAGCGGGCATCCCCCCTCGCTGTGGCTTTAAATGGCCAGATGAAGGGAGATGGCAAAGTATGTGATGGCGCTTTGCCACATGCTACTGAGACTACTATCATTTTTTCTGTGTATACCAACTACAACCTTCACATAGTTCAGCATTTAACCGCCCCTTTTTTGGTAAGTTTAAGAATTGTCCAAAGCTTCAAGTATTAGTGCAGCCCCAGGGCCAGATTTACAGTGTCAGCATTGTAAGAAAAGGCTGGAAAAAAGTGTAGTATTGTATATCAGGGGGAAAGGTAACTTAGTGGTTGCAGCATGCTGAAGGTGTCTGGATTCCGAAGCAGTGAAATGTAAGTGACATCAACATTTCTGAACTATATATAATATACTACATTAACTATATCAAGGAGCCGCCTTAGTCATTTCACTCAACCTGGCCAGTGCCCACAGATTCAATCCATAAATATCTGTAACTAAAGTTTTGACATTTTAGCACGTTTAAAAGAAAATTGGTGAAAATGTTAAAACTATAGAATTTATTCCCCCTCATGACCAGCCTCTTTCTGTGGTTGAGATCTTGAGGTTTTGATGAATAAAGGAAAAATGTGGAACCGTGTTACAATCTGTCAATCTTTTCAACACAGCCAGTTCCCTCAACCAAAAATTAGTACACTTAAAATAAAGACAAACTACCTGTGAAATGTCTGATACCACAGTGTCTGATACCAAAAGGAATCACCAGTGAGGCAGAATTTTCCTTTTGTCAGGTTGGGAGAAACCTAAATAAAGGCATAAGGCCTCCAAAGATTAGCCACAGCTTGTGCATGGCAGACCTTGGGGAGCAGCTAAAGTTACTAGAGCATATTGCCAGCACGTCACACAGATAAGATCCGACTTGAACTTAACATCTGCATTTTCTCAGTTTGTTTGAAGCTTGGGGTACACAAGGAACAGTGCCTGGAAAGATTATATTGAGGAAGCCCAAGAGGCCAAGAGGGCCATATACCTTTAGCTAAGAGAAACATGCAGACTCAACATTTGCTCCGCCCATTATTGGCCAATTATGGTGGGCTGCAGGGATTTCCGGGGCAGTCCTTGTGCCAGACATGCAGGCTCTTTGGCATCGGAGGGGTGCAAGAGAGGAAAGCTTCCAGAAGCAGAAGCAGGAGAAAGAACTTCCTATGGTTGTGGAATAAGAGGGTCGTTCCATAGTGTAGCGCACTGCCTTGATCTGCAACTCATCATTCCGGGTGGGTCGCCTGGGCAGGTGATGACCTATGAACGAAACACCAAATGATTAATGGTGCACTGGTTTGATTTTACCATTGGATACCAGTTACTAATTGGAGCTAATTACTTGAATGCCATAGTTGTGACATGTACATGAGTTAGCAGCAGTCTGGTAGATGACACGAACACAAAGCAAACAACATGAAGCAATGATAAAGACTTATGTAGCCAAATAACAGTATTTTAAGCTTCCAACACTACAATCTGCATCAAGAAACTGCACATGGAATAGAAGTGGTGGTGCGGATGGAGCTAAGCAGTGATGAAGTGGATGGATTTTAAAGGTTGTCCACCTCGTTCAAATAAAGAGGTTTTTTTCTTCACATGCTCAGAATTCCGTCCCGGCAGATTCAGTTGTGCCTGTTTTGCATCAAAATCCATTCAGTTATCACTGGCTCCTTATTTGCTTCGAAAAACATATTACAAAAATTAATGTCAGTATTGTGGGTTACTGCACAACAATCTTTATCCTATCCTTCAGCCTTGGACACAATCAAGGTCAGATGAGGGACAAAGGCATTCTCTACCAACTGTACACCAACACTGCAGTTATAAAGGCTAAAACAGTCACCAATATCAAACTATGTACATTTTAAAATTATATTCTCATTATATTTTACAATGAATGCACATAATAAATAATTTTACATATTTTTTTTTTTTACCTGATCAGCCAAATGTCAGTTATTGGGAACTTTTAAAATGTCAAACGAATAATAGATCAAAGGATGAACTCATTGATGGATTATTATTTAAATTAAGCATACTATTAATTCTGCATATTTCAAACTCTGTTTTTGTCTCATCAGGTGTTCTTTTCTTTTTTTTTTTTTGCTTTTGAGTGCTGGATGTTTGCACAAAATGTCTGCAAATGTTTGTAGGATGTTTGGATGGTGAATTCAGGGGCCAGCGAAGGTGTAATTAGTGGGGGGGTGAGCAAACAAAAGATCCTTTTGACTCAGTGGTGTAGGTGCCGTCAAGGTTATATCCACAGAGAGTGATACGGATCTGGAGAGATGCCATTCATTCTCTACTGTCCTTGAAGAACAGTTTGACAGATCTGCTGGATTAAATTGATTTTTCATACACTGTTGGTTGTTGACCTTCACATATTCCCATGTCCTGCCCCAGCCAGATAATGTGAGTAATCACTTTGACCTTTCGCATCTGCAATGCTGCAGTTTCTTTGATAGCATTTATGTATTTGTGCGAGATCATCTTTAAACAAGTCCTAGGGATGAAGATTTCCAGCAGTCGTTGTGGCTTAAACTGCTGTGATTCGTGTAGGTTAAAGCGCTCCCTTATATTTGTCTGCCGCATTTCATCAAGCTGTGTTTTAATTCCTCAGTTTTCCTTTAGTGTGTTTGTGCTGTTTCTTTTCCTGCCCCAGCAGTGATGAATCTATTCCCCTGCCCTTTTCCTGCCTATGGTTGCTTCTTGTATAAAAGCAGCAGTGGAGCTTAGAAGAATCTGTCTGCAGAATCCTCATGCACCCCCAACAGACATGTACCTATTCATAGAAAAGAACAAAATAACCGTGTTATGACCAGCTGGTCTTGGAATGCCTGACTGTTTATTCTCAGAAGGGCAATCCCTTGGCTGGTCTAAGCCAGAAAAGGTTGACTCTACCTTTTTATTTTCTGCACATTTAGCTTTCTGTGACACAAGCTGGAATTATTCGACATCTTCTTTGACCGTATCCTTAAAAGCATCACGGCATTGTTAACTAGGCCACATTCACATCCTGACCAACTGTTTCCTGTTTTTCTCTTTGTTTCCTTTCCAGTGAAACAGTCAGAGGGGTTTTGACTGCTCTGCACCGCTAAAGTCTCCAATAATGTTAGAGTCCACACACCACAGCTGGCTCCATCACTTCTGACCCAACATGGAGCTAAAGGTCTGGGTGGATGGCGTCCAGAGGGTAGTCTGTGGAGTCACCGAGGCAACCACCTGCCAGGAAGTAGTGATTGCACTGGCCCAGGCCATAGGTAAAGTATCTTGATTTTGTAACTGTAATATGATAAACCATTACGAATGGAGAAGACATCAACATTTAAATTCATTTGTAAATTCAATATTGTATCATTGTAATACTATTACGTCTATTACTTCTGATGTTTTTATATAACAGGAAACAGTATGTTCAATCCCTAGGTCATCGTAATTATCCAGTTTCAAAAAAACGATAAAATATCAGTGGTGTTGATGAAAGCTCGTGGCGATGCAGGTGCAGCCTCGGCTACATGTGAGCGCAATTGGAGTAATCCAGCCTCTCCTTATATTAGTAGAAGCCGGGACCAAGGAGAGAGGAGAGGGAACAGAAGCAAAGTATCTTGATTTTGTAACTGTAATATGATAAACCATTACGAATGGAGAAGACATCAACATTTAAATTCATTTGTAAATTCAATATTGTATCATTGTAATACTATTACGTCTATTACTTCTGATGTTTTTATATAACAGGAAACAGTATGTTCAATCCCTAGGTCATCGTAATTATCCAGTTTCAAAAAAACGATAAAATATCAGTGGTGTTGATGAAAGCTCGTGGCGATGCAGGTGCAGCCTCGGCTACATGTGAGCGCAATTGGAGTAATCCAGCCTCTCCTTATATTAGTAGAAGCCGGGACCAAGGAGAGAGGAGAGTGAACAGAAGCGTGCATACTGGCCAAGAAGGAAATAATGAAAATATTGGAAATTAAAAAAAAAAAAAACGTAAAATACCGTGATATAGCAGAACTTCCTTTTTGACCACATTATCATGATAGTACCACCAAGTAGGCTGGCTATGTAGGCAGTGAAGCCTAGTTGTGAAGGCTAACTGTGTGGGCTAGCTGCGAAGCCTGGATTGATCACTTCTTTCCAGGAATGGGTGTATAGGTAAATGCAGAGAAAAATCTATCCTCTTCTGACCAGTTACACAAATTGAAACACAAAAAAGTTCAGTTTGAATTATTTAACTTATTTATATTTATTATTTAACTAAATTAAACTTCATTTTAACATCTAAGACTGGACCAGATCTGAGTGTTTGAGATGTCCTTCATTACTTTGAAACACTGAAACTTGAGTGGGAATAGCCGAGGGAATAGCCGAGCATGACACCCTGGTTTAAATTCAACTTTTTTTCTCAGTTTGAAGCACTCGCTAATGTCCTAGGCGGTTATAAACCAAACATGTCTCCTGCCTACATGTTCAGCTCCTGCCAACATATGTTGGGTCCTAGTCATAGTCTATATCGGTGCTATAGTCACCCTTCTTTCCCATATGGCTCCTTCAGGAATAGGGGCAATTCAGCAGCATAATTGACATCACTTCCCACAATACACTGGGTAGTGGGAGGGAAAGTCTGACTCATCTTTCTGTGTCCTGCCAAACTGAGAATGCAGCACTGCTGGGCCTCCTCCGCTACTTTTTTATTAGCAACATAAACGGCATGTAAATCAAACTGTACTCACTCTACTCTTTTACCTGGTGGTGATACGTTTTTGGATTTCTACTGTATGTACTTGGTGTTGTCTTACAAAAAAACATTGGCACAAGTTTAAACAGATGATTGATAGATGGTTGGTTTTGCTATAATGTGATCCCAACAGCTTTATAAATTGGCAGTATATTTTTGGCTTGAAGTTTTATCTTTCAGGACTCTAATTAATGATTACTTTATTACTATATTCTATTTTTTTTCTAAATTGAGTGTAATTATTTTATTTAATTTTTTTTTTCCTTTGACAGGCCGCACTGGCCGGTATACGCTGGTAGAGAAATGGCAAGACACGGAGCGCCACCTAGGCCCTCATGAGAGCCCAGTGGCTTCTTTGAACACCTGGGGCCAGTATGCAGGTGACGTCCAGTTGATCTTGCATCGCACAGGACCCTCTCTGACTGAACGACCCCCATCCGAAGGACCCGCTTTTCGAGGCCCTGCACGTGGGCTGCACCGACAGAGCCTCCCTCCCCTTGCGAAGCTTCGTCATCCCAATGATCGCTCTCTCCGCCGCCGTGAACCACGCCGAAAGTCCCTCACATTCGCCGGTGCACCTAGAGGTCTTCGCGATATACTGACTGGGGGGAGGGCTGGGGAGGCGGAGGCTAGACAGAGACTTTTTCTAGAAAATGGTGGAAATCACCACTATGGAGGACCAGCAATTGGAAGGGCGTCTCCTTCCTTGTGGGCATGTCGTATGGATGATCTGGTCAGACTGGTGGGAGTACAAAGAGAGACTCTAAACGTGCTGGAGAAAAAGCTTGAGGTTTATGAAGATGAGTTACAGGCTTGGGCCGAGGGCAGAGGGGGTCGTGGTGCAGAGTGTGTCGGGGACCTGGGTGCGAAAGGAGGACTGATGGAGGAAATCCTGAGGCTGGAGAAGCACTTGAGGAAGAATGAGGTGGAGATGGAGGAGGAGGAGTTTTGGGTCACTGAGCTGCAGATCGAACTCGAAAGTGAGAGACAATTGGAAGAAAGACTGCAGGAGCTAAGAAGTCGCCTGAAGGGCTGTGAAGTTGAGATTGAAGAGAGGCTGGCAATGGTACAGGTGCGGAAACGTACAAACATATGTCATTTGCTATTTTTAGAATACATATGCTGTGTGTACGTGCGTATCCTTTAATAATACGATTTAAATGGTTGTTTTTCTCATCAGGGCGTGGAGGCAGGATTGGAAGAGGAGCGGCTCCAGAGGGAGCGACAGGAGACGCAGTGGGTCACTGAGGCGGAGGCTGGCGCTCAGGTCCTAAAGGTAAAAGCAGAGCTGAAAGTCCAGGAAAGACATGCCGTCCAGCTGGAGACGAGCTGCAGAGCAGTGAACAGGTCGCTTGGACAAAGCACCAAAAAACTGCATGTAAGATCAACTTATTTTTAACAAATAGTGCTGCAGTTGGTTGAAACATAAAGAATCGGACTGTCTAGCAACACAACTACATTTAATAGTTTTGTATTCTTTATTCATTGCCACTAAATGTGTGTTGAATAAAATAATAATAATTTATGGACTTATACTGGAGTAATACAGACGAGTTAAGATAACAGTAATAAATCATTAACTGTAAATTCACAGTAACAACCAATGAAACAATTCACATCCTGTAGCCACTGAGCTGATAGCTATGCTATGATTGGTCTATAATCTGTAAACAAAAACAAAACCTAACCAATGTATTACCATTATTATACCATTAGTGTTTTAAATGGTGTGACATCATTGTATTTATTACAATGATGATGTCATTTTACAGCACCACCAATGGTTTTATGGGGAGGGGCTTACAAAATCAAACATGCAAGAGCTGACACACAGATTCCAACAGACGGACTTACGACATCCACACACGTGACTTGTGTAGCTTCATTTAACGTGAGCTGTGGCTCCTGCTAATTTGCACAGGGGGCATGAATGCTCATTATCATATGGTGGTGTGTATCAGTGGTGTGTATTTATATAAAGTCACAGCTGTTTACAGCTGTTCAGAAACATAACAATTCTAAAAAGAAAATCTCCAAAATTTAAATTTGTAGTGTACTTGGCATCAATGTAGTGCTAAAATTGAACCCATTATCCAGACGACACTTCCTAGGATCTGACTCTGCATCACTGCATTGAGAGCTCGTAAATGACTTCCACTGAGATTCACCAACACTACAGGCTAAACTTTAGTGCACTTTAGAAATAGGCATAAAATGACGTCAATGACTAAGAGAGCACCTACACAGTCAGATACAAGATCAATAATCATTGCAGATCCTTCTCTCTTTTTTGTGAAAAATGACTTGTGTATATTTCTCTTTAAGGACATGCAACAGGAGCTGGAGCAACTGACCAAGGAGCTACGGCAAGTGAACCTGCAGCAGTTCATCAAGCAGACAGGCACCAAAGTCACAGTGCTGCCCGCTGAGCCCGCTGAGGAGGAAAACAGCCACAAGACTCATGGTATGCGTTTTTTTCCCATCCTTCTATGTCTAGTGATTTTTATACTTCATGTCTGCAACCTAATTACCTACTTTTATGGAGTTCTTCTAGTTCTGATGACCACTCAAACGTCTTCGCCATCTACATTTGATTATTTTCAAATACTGTGCATGTACAGCATACATATGCATGCAGGTAGTGCAGTAGGCAATACTTCCTGATGGTAGACATGTGTCACGGGGAAACCTTTCCTACAGGCTCACCAACGCTCTGGTCACATGTTTCACGAGTGTTTTATCTTCTGTTATTATGTGTTTTGCCAAATTTGAGATATCTGGTAATTGCTAAGCTATTTTAGAGTGAATTTACTTTTATGAGTTTTTTAATGACTTTTTTTAATTTTTTTTATTTTTTTTTTTTTTTTACCACCCTTGTGGTAAAAAAAAAATGTTACAGCAAGTTATTTGAGACCTTGCTGTAACATATTAAGTTTGAGTATTTGAGTAGTGGTAAACTGAATTTAGGAGCCTCTAGAAAACCAATAATGCAGTCTGTCTTATCTTTTAATTATAATTCAGTTTAGTAATTTGAATCCCAGAACTTCTTAAGAGCTCATAATTCATTTTAGTTTTTAAAATTAGTTTGAGTTGCCCTGATGTTTCATAACAATAAAACTTGATGCATATGAGCCAGAATTTACCCAAATAAAATCTGTGAACTTACCATCAACTGTATAATGTAATAAATAAAGCCAGGTCAATATTACCACTCTAAATTAGAAAACATTTACTCCTATTTTAGATACAGTAAAAACCTATTGAATCATTAAATCTTTAAAGGAATGTTAACTTTCAGCACGCATTAATGACTGTGGTTTAAGTTATTATTTAAAACTGCATTCCATACAGTACTTGTAAATAACTGACTGACTGCATTAGTCAATGCACCTCTTATAATCCTAGTACCCATTAGGGAAGTAAAGTATTAGTTTTTATCCACTTCAGTGCCAATTAGTGTCTCCATGCCAACAGTTGTCTGGATACTGGCAGACCTGGAGTCATTTATTCACTGCACTCGCTCTACATTATTTCACCTCAGCAGTCTGTGCGCTGGCCAACAAATGGCTGTGTAACACATGTCGACCATATTGAAATGCCTAAGTTCTACTATGAAACTTGTCAGTATAGTCCCAACATTACTATGATTCAATACTGTTCTTCTCATTTCCACAGACACATTGCACCCATATGAAGATGAATGTGTAGATGTGCCAGAACGTACAAGAATCTTTTGACATATTTTCTCGTAGATTTCTAGGAAGGTTGACGATATGGAAGAAAAGGTTACTACACATTCGCAAACCGTACGTGTGAGGTGGCAAAAACATAGAAGAAACAATGAGCTGCGACATCAGATAAGGGGAAACAGCATGTGGTTCAAGACTGACACCATAAATAATATAGAGAGAACGTCAGCCTGTGAAACACACCTCATGAGCAAATGCTTTGAAATCTAACCATTCAAAACATTCAAGACAAAAACGTAGAAATTTTAAAAAGTAGGTATGGTTTCTAAGAATTTATTAATTCACCAGAAAACACGTTAGGATGAAGCATAAATTTTACTGTAGCCTGGCTGTGAATTATTTAGTGTCCGTATTCGTGCTGCTTAAAATGAATGAAAAGTAATTGGTATCTGAGAATATTCTGGAAATCTCTAGTTGACCTCCGTCTAATGGAGTTGTTCTTAATACATGAAGTTCTTTTACGGCGTATTAATAACGTTAATGATACTTGATTTCAATTATAAAAAATAATGAACTGGACCTAAATGTCCTTATCATAACCTTTTACTTTACGTGTGTAAAATCCACAAGAGCTTCTCTATTACACTGTAAAAGAGTATACGTAGATTTGATCCACGGGTAGGTAGTGACACCTGGTGGAATTATGGTATTATTTACTTTTTCTACATACTTTACGGAGAGTATTTAAAAACAAACAAAAAATATTTCCCTCTATTTGGCCTGCAGGGGTTGCTAGGAATTTACCAAGACAGAAAAAATTCTAATTTGAAGACTCGTGATTGTCCATTGAATGAAAGAATTAACCTCCAACAGAGTTTTAAATTTAAAATCGTGAATGCTAGCTTCATCTTCTGCTGAATTCAGGATCTGATTTTTACTGGTATACAACAAAGTATCTCAAAATACATCATCTCTTTACCATTTAAATGTCTGGAACATGCAACTTACGCTTTTTCATTTTTTCATTATTCTTTTGTTACATTAACTTTGAATACCTGGAAATAACAAAAGGGCTTAGGTATGATTTTGAAATTAGCATCACATACTGAAGTGAAGCATGTTAATATATTTTAATTATTATTTTTATCCAATTAGCCCAGGGGTGTCAAACTCATTTTCACTGGGAGCCAAATCAGCAATGCAGTTCCCCTTGAAGGGCTGGTTGTAAATGGAAGAGTGTATAGATGTAACTATTCCATAACATATTAATACATGTTTCTGCAATTGATTATTATTTAAGTAAGTTACATATAGTCTCCATTGCTGTGTAACAAAAAAACAATGAAATGTAATATAAAAAACTTAGCTCATGCGGGCCATACAAAATTACATGGCAGGCCACATTTGGCCCCCGAGCCTTGAGTTTGACGCATGTGCATCCTCCATTTCTAATTGTTTTTTTCCCCAACTAATTGTGAACTTTTCAGTTCCCCTCACTGGATCACTGAAGCGGCCCGTGTCGTCCCAGACAATGTCCAGTCACCTGCGTGTCCTTCACAGTCCTATCAGCTCGGATCTGAATCCAGAGGGGATCTATGTTTGAGACGGCCCTGTTCGACAGGGTGCTTATATTTTGCCTCTGTCCCTGAGCCCATGTCACTTCTGAACCTTCACACACACGTGGAAACAGTTGAACAGGATACCTCAGTAGCACACTACTACGTACTGTCGTCTCAGTCACTTGGTAGCAGCCTTGCGTGTGAAACCTCACACAGTGAAATAATGATGTCAAAGTTGCAATGCAAGTAAGTGAGCACTTTGTGGGAATGACATCATTGCCACAGATGATAATGGTCACACTCAGTGCACTGAAACACGTCAGGACTTTCTAATAATCAGGCTTTTGTGAAGTGCGTTAAATGACATATCCATGTGAAGTACTTTTACCCACAAGTACCTGCTGAATGGTTTGTAATGTCACAAACATCATTATTTGAAACCTTTGCCTTCTTGAACAATATATTTGAAAAGTCTTTATGTGAATCTATGAACTTTATGTTCTCGTACGCCTATGTGTTTTATTTTTTTGCAGTAGTTACACAAGAGGCTGACGTAATGGATGGTTCTAATGTATGTAATGAGAAATCCTGGGCGTATCTGTTGAAAACACTATCTATTGCATTAATCGATTTGCATTTTAGAGTTCCTCCTTGTTTCTCTGACTGTACCTCTGTATGTTACAAATATGCACAACTTGCTGGTTTTGTTACTTAAGAATGTTACTGTGTATATGTACCAGAATTATTGTAAATGTTTTTTTTTTCTACCTTGCTTATCTTTATTTAGCAAACTATTATGTTTTATTACATGGTGGTGCATTTAGGTAAATGAAGCGCTCCAAGTACAGCAGAAACATTTGCATAATGAACGAATGTTACTGATCGTCGTGTTGGAAAATGTACACAGATTATATTTGCCAAATGTAGTGTGCTTGTTCTCCCCTAAGCATTAGTGGCCAAAGATTTCCGAGTCTTGTTGCATGGTTGTGATGCCAATATAGCCATATGAGGATGTGCCGTGCGAAGTACTAGGTTCTTTTGTATCTTGAAATGGTGGCATGCACTAAGACATTGGGTCGCTCCAGCTTCAGTGTGCCTGAGTCTGTGATCAAACAGTTGTGTGTCTGTGCAGTCGGAATAGCCAAGATTAGGGAACGTTCCTGTAGGTTGTAGTCAAGCTTCTCATCACATAAAAGTGCCTTATTCCTGAATACAAGTGGCTCAATGTAAGGCTGGTAATGCACTTTGGTAACACTGACGGATTTATGGGTCATAACATGAAGCTATTGAGAATTTAAAGTTGTTTTCTTTTCTTTATTTTAATATAGCTATAAAAAGATTAAATAACCTAAATTTTTTATAAAACAAAAATCAATTTACTCCACGGAAAACTATGAACCAGAAGTGCCATGTTTATGCAAATCAGAAATGAAGCACCATCCACATCTGACATTGTTACCTTCATTTCTTGTGAATGACTTATTGTATCATAGAACAGACTGTAGAGTCTGCAGAGACGTTATTAGACCTTCAGTGAAAGGAAACAAGAGTGTGTCAAAATTGAGCTCCAATGCAGTTCAGGCGACCTCTGTAAAAAAGAATGATGGCTTGATACAACTTTTTCATGTCCAATACCGATACCGCAACTTTGTGTGTCTGCTGATATCGATATCTATCAGCTACCGTCTTTTCTCCTTCAGCGTGACATGGGCTGCCGTTGCTGAGGCGATAGTTTCCCTGTTTATGGTATGTCGGGTAAAGTTAAGTTGAGAAGGCTACAATTGTTCTTTTTGATATCCAATCCTGAAATTCTAACCTTTATCGGACCGATATTGATCGTGAGTATTGGATCAAGCCATCCCTAGTAGAAACCATAAATATTCACGGTCCGGCTCAATAAAGAAATCTAAAAAATTATTGTCTTGGTGTCTCCTACAAAATGACACCACACTGTGATACTGTTTGTAGCATTTGTGAGAACAATGTATAGCTGTGTTTAAGAAAGACATAGATTATACAGCAGTAAGTAAACATGTGGTTTGAGTAGCCTTCAAAGGGTTTAGTTAGTTGTGAATATGAAACTGTAAAAGTCTCATGGATTTATATACTGTACTGTTACAAAAACATAAGTTTCCACATGAAGCTGTGTTTGAGCTCAGTGGCCATCAAAACAAAAATGTGTATTTGTGTAGATGTCAGGTCAAAATGTGAGTCAACTATTCACTTGTGTATGATTTGTTGCTCTTGGTAGCACAGATCAACCTAGCACACAGTAGTAGACTACTCTTCTGATTGGTAAAAACAACAGCTATCTTTTGCTGTAAATAATAGTTGTTATTGTAATTGTTATCATATGCAAGTTCAATATGGCCTCCTGGTGATGATCACATCACAACTGGCCTTCTGGACATACATGTTTTAGACTTTTGAACTATCAACAGAGTGTTAGTAGATGTCAGTGGTGTATTGTAGGGATGGCTCCATGTTCATGTTCGATACCGATATATCGTAGAGTATCTGCTAATACCAATATCACTCCTATACCTTGTTTTCTCCTCCACCATCCTCTGGGTTACTATGGCCCTGTTTACACCAGGTCATGCAAAGTTAGGTTGAGCATTTAGGCTTGGGTCTCGCATCTGTAATGACATTTTCACTTTTGGACATTGGGTACACCAGCTTAAGCATGTCCCGATGCTGCAGCAAACGTAATATTTGCAACAATTCCGTTTGGAATTTTATAACGAATATAAATATTTTCATGACACTTCATGTTGGCATTTCACTTACATTTACACCACTACAATCCGGCAGCAATATGTGATTGAAATCAGTTGATCCATATTAAACACTGACCTAGAGAAATGGCCGAGAGAAAAAAACATTTGTTTTAAATGTAAAAATTAAGGCTACATATAAGGTCATGTTCAGCTACGATTCCTAACCCGCAAAAATAAAATAAACAAAAAGTTTTGTAGAATGTCTGCCAAGAGAATCAAAATTACTTTGAGGCGAGCAAAAGTACAAAACATTATACAGTTGTCCATTTACATCTCCCAGGAAAATCCCAAGAATTAACATTTATTTTAAAGATGGTTAAATGTTTGTCAAATGAAGTCTTACTGTTTATGGAGCTGAATACAACACGCTAAGAACGAAAGTTGAAAGTTAGTAGTTCAGCATGTCTAATCTGACCGTGTCCCACTAGCTGTTGAAATAACTATAACAATTAAGTGTAAGCTAGACAGCATTTGCAACGATTGTTGTTGATTTAGTTACAATGACATGAGTTGTTTGTTCATATCTCCCCACAAAGACAAGTAGCGTCCAAGCGTTACTTTCATCTGTCTATTTTAAGAAGCAGCAGCAACAACAGAGACAGTGTTTTTAAGTGCTGTAAAAATTATTTTGCATCCAGTTCATTCTGTGTCTTGTCTTGCGACAGAAAATGTACAGTTTCTTGGATTAGCATAATCAAGAGGGATGTCTTACAACACAAACACAGCCTCCTGGTGTACTTAATAATTCCTATCAGTAACTGTAATCAACCAAAGAAAGTCTTGGTCGAATGAAGCCGTGACATTTCGACTCTTAAACACAAAAGGCAAGTCGAATTTAAGAAAAAATGCATCTATTTAACAAACCAGAACAAGACGAGTGCAGAAAGTGATACTCTTGGGGGGGGAAATCCTTAACATCCAACAAACAATGTATGTGTCAATTCTGGTATGTTAATATACTCAAACCGGACGGGGCAAACTAACGCAGAAAAGTTAGCTTACCGTTTACAGGTGATGTTCAGTGTTTGTAGTCGAGCTGTGATATGCGAGTTGGTAGCAAACTTTTCCAGTTATCTATTTCTGTAAAATGCTGCCACGCTGTGGATGTCTTTGACATAGTAGACGAGACTGACTGTAAATGCTCAAAATAAACAAACAGATATTCAACAAATTACGTTAGTAACACTTACCAGTACGTCATTCAAATCTGTCCGCGGGTTGGGCTGATCCAAGATAGTACAAAAAAGGGGGTGTTCTGAAGACAGACTATTACCTCGACCAGTCCACTGGGAGATTACAACCCTACTATTATGTTTAGGATTTCCCTTAAAAACGGTGCATTTCACTCCTGGGTAGAACTCTTACTGCACTTGCTGTTTACAACTGTAAATGTTTCCGAAATTCAATGCTTAACCTTTTATTTCTTGCCTTAATATACTGCAGTGTTGACAGATGATTGGCTGCGTCTGAATGCAGCTGATATGACCTGGTTTGCATGATTCAATAAACCAACCGATTAAATTGAAATGATATCAGTTATATTTTCTTTTTCTTATATACTACAAATATTGGGTTGTATTTAATAATTTGTGCAGTGCTGTTTTGTATTGCTTGTTTTTTCTTTCACTTTTTACCAATAGATGGCGACATTTCCACGGTATTGAGAGACTGAGTATAAAGACGTTCTCGAGAAAAAACAACTTCCTTGCCTTGAATGAAGTAATTGAGAAATTTCAGAGGTTTTCAGGAGAATAGTTCGGAAGCGTTAATAATTACCACAGGTCTCGCCATGAATGTTTGTGAATCATATAAAACAGCCCTCGAAATTCACATGAAAGAGGTAAAAAAAAAAGTTCCCTTTTTCATATAAACGTATAGAATAAAGAATATTTAAATAAATGAAAGACTACTTGGAATACTTGGATTAACACTTTACTAAAGACTCACATGGGATGTTATTTTTTAGGACATTTCTTTAAAAAATTAACAGTTTTTGTTAGTCACGTTATGTAACAACAAAGTCAGAGGTTAAGTATGAAAATAAAGTCAGCAGGAGGCCTGTTTATTTTTTTATCAGCCTGTAAACTCTGGGCTTAATTTCACTTGTTATCATCCTTTCATCACATGACATTGTTTAAAGCCTACTGTAGATTACTTAACTGTAACTTGTCAGCTGACCTGTCTTTAACAAACATGACATTTTTCTGCTGTGATCCTGCTTCCTACTGTATGCACGGATTACCTGCTTCACAATCGTGTGTCGCCTTTGGCTGTTTAGGATTATTTAAAATAATAATAATTTAAAAAACACACACAACAAATTTCTTGTTAAACAAGACAGTTGCCTTTTTCAGTTTTGAATTTTATTTTACAACTGGTCAGCAATAATTTAGAACAGCATACGTGTAAAGCATCAATGAAATGTGCAACAGTTGCTTAGTTTTATATATATTTATATTTATATATTTTGAAAAACCCATAGACTTCTACAACATTGACTTCGACATGTACACATAATGGTATAGTCACAAAAAGTATTTACAGACACACATGCCAGGTTGTATAACAGCTAAAGAAAAGCTACAAAAGCTATGTCATGGATGCAAAAATACAGTGAAAGTCATTGCTTTATTCAGTCACATGTGAAACTTTTTTTCTTTTTTTTTTCCTTTTTTTAAGTAAGAACTACACTTTTACTTTCTAGAGTTGATGTAGTAGAAAATCTCTTAGGGCAAAGCAACAGTTATAAATAAAGGATACATGACCAGTTTTTTCCTGTCAAACATTTGGCTGGTGACATTTGACATAAAATAACATGTTCTACTGAGCATGGGTGTTTCATGAAGGGCTTTTCACATTAGATTGTTGCGGGCATGAACGGTGCTTGTAAACCTACTTGACTACATGTTATCTTAAGGTGATCATCACCCTGTGTGTGGCTTCCAAACTGAAGTTCCTTCAAGCACCTTTAATTTTTTTTTTTTTTTTTTTTTAGAAAATTCAACAACGAAAAACAAGGTTCTCAGAGAAGTATACAGTGATTGACTTTCAGACTTATAAAATGGCTGTCGATGACAGTAGGGCCAAACCAGGTCAAAGTGCACTTTTACATTTGAAAAAGTAAGGATCATTTTACATTCATTATTTAACATCTCTAAGGTTCTACCTAGCAAAGGTTAGTGGAGGTAGAGGTCCCTGTAAAGCCTCATTCACGGGGAGGGCAGACCACATGTTGGTCAAGAAGCCTCCAGTCAGTGAGTGTTTTCATTCTTATGATTGTTCTAGTTTCATTATAAAGTAAACAGAACGTACTCTGATTTGTGATGATAAGATACGGGGCAGTCCAGCATATAAAATACCCCGTATCATATCTCATCTATCTGGCTATCACGTGCAATCGTTAACAGGTGTTGAAATCAGTCGTTTGTATTGAGGTGCCATCATCTGTCAGCTTTAGATACAGGTAAAATGGGACTCGTTCAACCTATATCTCGTGCAAGGTGTGGGATTAGAACCTGAAGCATTCACTCGGCCAGAATCTCTCTCTTATGTTTCCAGTGCACATCAACGAGTTAACGTGGGTCAGACTGTGTTCCAGGTAGTAACAATTACAGGCAGAGTCAGCAAAGCTCTTAATAACCTCAGTGGTAACTTCATACATCCACACAGAGAAGAAGGCTCAATGATTGATATACTGCGTCTATATATACTCAAAGGTTTTGGCACCAGTCGCTGCCATTTGAAAATACTCTTTTAATTAAAAGAAAACATTTTAAAATAACAACAACTTTCCAGGCCGTTTACTCAAGTCAGACACTGTCAGCATTCATTCAGAACGATTCAATTTCGCATTAAAAGCGTTAAAGGCACACGCCGTCACCACAGCCCCAACAACTCTTTTGTAAAAGCTCTTTTTATATGTGGCCTCGTTTTAATATATATATAAAAATGAGGAACATTTAGACTCCTCGGCAGAGCGCACAAAAATGGAACAGAATCAGATTAGCTGTTTCCACAGGCGGACAAGTGATGAGGAGGGCTGCTCTTCATCTCGTGGGACTTCTCGGACGCCTCTGCCTCTCCGTCGTCACTCTCCTCAGGCTCCTCGGCTGAGCCTGCCTCGGCCTCGGCCTCGGCCTCGTGTGACCCGTCGCTGTCTGGACACAGGGAGTCCTTGTGATTAATGGAGGCGCCAAAGTGCGAGGACAACCCGGGGAACGCGGCCG